GTGGGTACTGATCCCAGTATTGTGCTGGACGCGGTGAGGACAGGCCTTTGAAGAGTGTTTCTGAGACCCATGAGTGAAATGATTAGAGAAGGGGGCAGCCGGTGTGTGACAAAGTGCTGCCCTGCAGGGCACCCGCTCAGAGCACCCTGCTGTGGCTCTTGGCATGCTCTCTCCACCTCGCTGCAGTGCACAGCTACGTGTGCCCCAAGGAACAAGAATCCTGCCCGTGCTTCTCTGCCGTCCGGAAAGGTGCCAGGAGCAGGGTGGATAAATCAGAACATCATTTCTAGATACATTCATAAGCTCCTGTGACAGAAAGTTTGCTTTAAAGGGCTCACATAAGCAGGCGATTATTTTGTTACCTGTAGAACTTTCCTGGAAAAGCTCTACTGAAATGCAATCTGTGTTTTCCCACTGGAGCACTGGGCAGCTACGTTTCCTGACCAGGAAACTCAACATCGAACAGAACATAACTGGGACAGAATAATGCCATGAAAGCAGGAAAACCAAAGCCATAAATCTTACTAACTATTAAGAGTGATAAAATGCTCCTACACATTCCATACAGTGCAGTATTGGTGCACACTGACTAAGGAAAGAGCAAGTCTTCCATTAACATATAAAAATTCAACTCCACTGTCATAAATTAGATTTTTCTCATACTGAACTATTAAGGGTGATAAATACAAATTGAACACTTGAATAACAATAGCTTCACCCCTCCCTGAAATTTGAAGTGCATTTGAGGATGCTTCCTTCTCTTAATAAGTTCCTTCTTCTGAATAAATTCCTTCCAGCAGAAGCATACCGAATTATCCCATTATCCATCCCATCCATCTGGATGTCAAGTCCATAGCATCAGTAGACCAATGAAGTGGGACTCTGAGGATGACACACCGTGAATAGAATCAATGCCTATGTCAGGAGGCCCCTGATACACAGACTGGAAAATTTTAGCAGGAGAAATATTCAATAACTAAGACCTACAAATGGATATTTTTATTTCCTCCCATTCCTCATTCTTTATTTTCTCCCTCTAGGCCCTAAATTCTGATTGAAATATTAATATGTCCCATGTTACTCTTTTCTGTTGATTTATCATTTTGGAAAAGTGATATGTGTTTACTATAGAAAATTTGGATATGAAGAAAATAAAAAGAGCTGCAATTCTACCACTTAAGTTGACCACTGTGAACATTTGGCCATATCTGTTTTCAGTTATTTTTGTTTTCTTATTTGTTTTCACGCAATACTGAAACACGGTTTTGCTCGTCTTCAGTCAGTCCTTCCTGAATGTTGCCTCAGATCTTAAAATGTATTTCTAGAACATCGTTGCAGTGTCTGTAGGATATAGAGCTCACCTAAATGTATTTAACTAGGCCCCTATTATAGGCAATTTAGGTTATCTCCCTGCCTTCCTTTTCATTTCAAATAGCATTATGATGAAAACCCCCATATATAGAAACTTTGTCCACCCGCATTTCTGTTCTATTGGGTGTGGAATTTCCCTCACAACTGAAGAATCTTTCTTAGGGCTATTCATAAGTATTGCCAAATTGTTTTCTAGAAAAATCTTCTAATACTGTCGTCGTTATTAATACAGATATTGAAATGAGAAAGACCTGAAGCACACGCCTGGTTTTGCAGTTCCAGCTCTGTCATCAGCCATGTGACCCTGACCAAGCCAACACCTCCAAGTCTCCCCAAATGTTAAGTAGGCCAGTAATAAGACCTGCTTCATGTCCCATTGCTGTGTGGACCAAATGAGACAGTCCATGTAATTGCTGATGACAGCAAAATGCCCAATGTAAGACCTAACAATTGTATACTTGCAGAGTAGGGACCATCCATTTCTCCATTCTTTCACAAACTCTGGGTACAATTTTGTGTAAAAAATCATCAACTTGACAAGTGAAAAAAAGACATCTTGTAGTTTTAACTTCTGTGACAAAACACATCTCTCAAGCCTTTAAATATATGTGAAATATTTCAAGTGAAGGGTGGCTTTGACAAATGCTTTTTCCTCAAATGTTCCTCATGAGTGCCACATAATAGAATTAGCTCAAATTGTCCTTAGTTTAAAGGGCAGATACATCACAGACTGCGGCTGCGTATTGAGTGGCCTGTTGTGGAGGTGCAGTAGGAATATGCAGTGATTAGTAAATGTGTGCTTAAACATTAAATGTGTGGTTGCCTCGTTTTCTCCCAACAGTCTCAATGAATTGGATGTAGCTGTCCAAAATTTATTTTAAATTGTATAAATAGCTTCGTAAGACAGCCAGTAGAAATAAAAAGAAGGAAAACATTCACCAGCAAGTCTTTCACTCAGATTAAATTTTGTTTACTGTCCACACAATTTTACAGAGTCACATTAGACATTCTTTCAAATCGGGATGTGTTTCCTCGTGTGGAGACTACCTCCTTGCCACTCAAGTACCATCATTTCACCAGGCCCACTAGGCGCCACTCTGTTCCCATCACATCAGTGGGAGCCATGCCCGAGAGAAGGACCTGCACCCTATGGGCCAGGGAAGAGGGTGGGTGACAGAAGTCCCCAGGAGTGAAGCAGAGGTGGGATGAGAGGTTAGCACCAGCAGCCCAAACGTTGCTGTGGTGTCTGCACAGGAATGTGATGGGTGTGCGTTGGTCTGAAATGAAAATCAAATCAACAAAGGCAGTGGTGTTCAGGAGGGTTCATACATTTAGAGGCCATTTCAAGAACAGGCTTCCGTTCGCTTTTATCAGAAGACTAGAGGCTCTGCACAAATTTAAAGACACAGCACTGTGTCTGGTACTGGAAAGAGTTTGCTCGTGAGCATGATCCCATGGGATTTCTGTAATGCAAGTGGGAGGAGGTATGAAGATATGCAGTCTTAATTATTATAGAGAAGAGAGAGAGAGATCTGTTTTTCTGTCCTATATCAGTCATCAAATAATTTTCTGTCTTAAGTATTAGCCATCAAATAATTTCTCACTTGATGACATGGAAGGGGCTCATTAGGTTTCAGTTCTATTCCTCTTTTGTCCCTGTTCATTCATATTTCCAAGGCTGTGTTCTCAAGAGTTGGGCTGTAATACCTTTGCAGGTACATGGTGATTCTTTAATATGTTTTCTGCCATTTAATTCTTGTTCGGAGCAGGCAGCACCCCAGCCTTTACATAGAGCTAGCTGGCCACTCTCTGTAATCAGATATGTATACACATCCCATGCCAAGAGAAAATGCTGGAATATTCACATTAGATTATCATATTCTGGTCACTTTTCAAGATCATCTGTGCTGTTTGTAACCTTGAGTATTAATTGTTTTTGCTTTCAGCCTTGAATTTAGTTCTATAAGGAAGGGGTTTTACTGACCAGGGTTATGGAAAAAATAATGGTAGCTTAGTGTTCTTAATCTTGAGGGCTTCTGGCATTACTGTTAAGTCAGAACTGTTAGGGAGTAAACTTGCTGGAAGGTGAAGATGAAGATGGCTCTATGGAATAACAAGAAGAGCAGTAGTCTCAGGAAATGTAATTTAGTTCACTCTTTTGCCCCCCCCCTTTTTTTTTAATGTTTTATTTATTTCTGGGAGAGAGAGAGAGACAGCGTGAGCAGGGGAGGGTCAGAGAGAGAGGGAGATACAGGCTCTGAAGTAGGCTCCAGGCTCTGAGCTGGCAGTCAGCACAGAGCCCAACACGGGGCTCGAACCCATGAACCGCGAAATCATGACCTAAGCAAAAGTCGGACGCTTAACCGACTAAGCCACCCAGGCGCCCCTACTTTTGCCCCTTTTTAATGTGACTTTGGGCCCATCTATCCATTTGTAAAATGACCTGTTTGTTTATAAAATAGAGACTGGGTTTTATCCTACTTAGCACTCAGTGACAGACTGCATGTGGAAGCTCTTTGTAAACGATAATATTACATACCAATGTAAGGTCATCACTGTGGCTTTGAGGTCAACATGTTTGAAAATTTGTTAGTTTACATTTAAACATATTTCAGTTCTCATTTTGGCTTGACCCATCATTTCCATACTTAAGCTATGAAGACTTTGGCTCAACCTTCTTTATCTTTCGGTCTAATTAGAGACCTGGAAGTTTGCTTTATTTGGAATTTGTCACCCCACATTCTAAAGATGAGTGCCAGTGTTTCTCAAAAGACTGAGACTCTAAGATACTGCAAAAGTGAATTTTAATTGTATGTCTTCAGAAATCCCCGGGATTTTATACTTTCATCATACTGAGTACTATTTTGATTATATTGTGGTAGAAACTATTATTCTTATATCAGAGCTGTTCACAAGATGGCAGCACTTTGAATAGTGACTGTATCTAAGAGCTGCCTTTCTCACAGGGTAACTTCTAGACATATTGATTATCTGCATCTAAGTTAATTAAAATCAAATCAAAGAAAAAATTTGGTTCCTCACACACACACTGGATGTATTCTAAGTGCTCAATAGCCAGATATGGATCATGGAGACTGCTTTGGACAGTGGAGATTAGAGAACATTTCCATCTTTGCAGAAAGTTCTATTGGACAGTCCTGCTCTAGAAGAAAGGAAACCTAATGTCACATTTTCAGAAGTACCCAGTAAGGTGTCACGTAGAACTTTTATGCCATTTTTAGATTTCCAACCTAAAATAGCAACTTTTAGGGGCACCTGGTTGGCTCAATTGGTTAAGTGTCTGACTTCGGCTCAGGCCATGATCTCCTGGTTCATGGGTTTGAACCCCATGTCAGGCTCTGTGCTGACAGCTAGCTCAGAGCCTGGAGCCTGCTTCAGATTCTGTGTCTCCCTCTCTCTCTGACCCTGCCCTGCTCACGCTCTCTCTCTCTCTCTCTCTCTCTCTGAGAAATAAATACAGCATTAAATTTTTTTTAAATTAATAGCAACTTTTAATGGCCAATCGAGTTTGGACATCCCACTCACCTACCCTTTCCTGCAAGTCACATTTAGGATATTTGATAATTTGATATTTTTACATGTTCATTTCTTTCTGTTGGGTTCCTTAGGTCCTGTGTGACAGACATGTGTGAATGTCCAGTCCATAAAAACTGTTACTGCGAGTCATTTCTGGCATATACCCGGGCATGCCAGAGAGAAGGCATCAGTGTCCACTGGGAGCCTCAGCAGAACTGTGCAGGTGAGAAATTCCTGGCAGATACATCCATCACACATTCACTACAATCCCCAAAATAACAATGAAAGAGACTTGCTGAGGTGAATGGCCACATCCCCCCTTGGCCAAAGGGAAATTCCATCAATAGTCCAACTGGACTGCAACTTGATAAAACACAAAGGCTTCCCACCAGGCAGGATAGAAAGCACTTAAGAGAAATGCTTTGTGACAAGCACATTTGAACAATTTAAGGATTTCCACTGTTGCAAAATCCTCCCATCCTCAAGCTCCCAGCTGGATGTACTTAGCACATGGACAATCACAGCTGTGGATAAGGTTATGTGTGGAGCAAAGAATCTTCATGATGATTACAGTCATTTAAGGTCTTCAGGATAAGTATGTGGATGTGCGTGTTGTGTGTGCAGATGTGTGTGTGTGTGTGTGTGTGTGTGTGTTTGAAAGAGAAGAATTGTTAAACCCTATCAGAATAGTCTTTTGCCTCTGAGAGGTAGAGTTCTATAATACTTGTTACAGTCCTTTGATCTCAAGCAAGTGAATTAGCTTGTTTGATATCTGTAAAATGGACTTCTTTGTTCATTCAAGAAATATTTCTTGCAAAGTGTCTAAGTGCTGGGCATTGTGCTGAACACAGTGGGTACTCTGGTAACTAAGAGATGAATCCCTTGTCATTGAGGTGCTGGCAGTCCAAAAGGAGAACCAGACCAAAATAGTAACTCTACAAGAAAATACTGGCTAAGTATGTTAAGTGTCATTAAGGAAACAAATAAGACAGAGCAATAGAAAACAAATGGCGAGGGAATGGGTGGCCACTTAGATGGTGATGAGGGAGGGCTTCTCTGTGGCGATGACAGGCATCTTGAAGGATTGAAGGGAGTTTGGGCAAGCATTCTATGCAGAAGAAACATATTTGATGACCATAAAGTAGGGATAAAATGGCATGCTCTTGAACTGGAAGGGAGTCAGCGTGGCTCCAGCATGGTGGGCAGGAGAAAGAGGCATAAAATGAGGTTGGAGTAGAAGCAGGAGCTGGATTGTGCAGGGCTTTGCAGGTCTTGGGAGGGTGGTAACCTTATTCCAAGGGGAATGGAAGCCACCGATGGGCTTTAAGCAAGCCTCTTTCTGCTTTCCAAAGATCACCCTGTGTCCAGGCTACTGTGGAGAGAATAGATTGGCTGGAGCAAGACTGAAAGCAGGTGACCAGGCAGGAGTGTGGTGAACAAACAATGGTGACTTGGATTCAGATGGAGGCAGTATAGGAGGAGAGAAGAAGAGAGATTCCTGCTATATTTTGGAATTTCGCAATAATATCTGTTACACAGAGTGATACGCAGCAGTGATATGTATGTGAAACATCTGGAAGTGTGTCCACTTCATAGAAGCTGCTGCTGCCATTTAGACCCAGAGATGAGATGACAGAGTATTTGTCACTTACCCCAAGTGTTGGCAGACATTTTCCTGAAAAGGGCCAAATTTGCCTCGAATGAAGAGATGCGGGGTTTGCATGAATTCTACACTAATTCTACTAACCTTAGCTCTGATATTAGAGAAGAAGGCAGTTCATGCCACTGCTAACTCTAGAATGTCTATATTGGTGGAGGGCATGAGTGGTCATCTGGTTGGAAGGGAGGTCAAGAAGAATTGCCTTGAAGCTGTGTTTTCATTGCATGGCCATCTTGTTTACTTAGACCAGTGAGTCTGAGTCTGGTTGGACTTTGGAGTCACTAGGGAGGTTACAAAATAAACAAGAAACCTATGCCTGGGTCCCAAGCCCAGATATCCTGCTTTAATTGCCTTATGTGGCTTTTAAATCTCCCCAGGTGATTCTGACCTGAAGCCAGGGTTGAAACCACTGAGTTCATTTTTATGCCTACTTGGGTGGCTTTGAGGGAGTGGGACTATAGGTATTTTGGGGCTACTAAAACTTCTCCAAGCTGCCCCTTGACAAAATCACTAGTCTGTGTCCATGAAAAGCACTAAGCCCTTTTACCTACTTCTAACTTCCCTTTTGGAATTTGCTCTCTCCTCGGCAAACCCAAGTCCAATCTTTGTATCTGAGTTTACTTCCCACAGCAAGAGTGCCTATCATGCTGCTCTTCTCAAAGGAGTATTGATTTGATAAAAAAAAAAATAACTCACAGGGATACTGGTGGGCTGGATCCAAAGGTGCAGAGGGGGTTCCTGAAGGACCAGCCAAGAAGGTCCTTGGCTTTACACAGGATGGAAGGCAAATTGAAGCCGTTCACTCAGCAGGAGTGAGAACAGAGTTTATTGAAGGTATAGAGAGCAGATATAGACAGACTCAGAAAGGAAGTGGAGGATGAGTCTCATCTTTGCTAGGGGGCTGGAGTTTTTATTGACAATTGTGGTCTGGTGCACATGTCCTCTTGGGCATACAGGAACTGGTCAGAACAAGGACAGGGTCCCAAAGTCTATCATAAGTCACTTATTCCCTGAAGCCAGGGGATCTTGGCGTCATCAAGGTGTCTAGTGCCAGCAATCTGGAATATGCACATGATGGCTTCACCCTGTCATTCCTTAGGTATTATCTATTGTGCTGGAAGATTCCAAAGATGTCATTAATTCCTCATCCCTTATAAGGAGGACATACATTAAGGTATGTGTAGGGCAGGCGTACAGATCCTAGCAAAAATAGAAGGAAAGGGAGCAAAAAGTAGATTTTTATGGAGTCCTTCAGTTTCCCTAACTCAATAGCAAGGTGTGGCTGAGGCTTCTAAAATGAAGACAAAATGGCTTACCTCTCACCTAATTCATCAGTGTAGGGCAGCGTAGTAAAAGCAATGTTTTTGTGGGACCGGGTCCTTTTAGCACACCTCGAATACTCCCAGCTCCCTTTCTCTACTTAGAGTCCTTCTTCCCTTGAATCTACCAGAAAAAGTGTAAGATATATGGAGCCAAGTCCCATCCATCCATCCTGTTGTAATTTAGGGCTCTGCAGAAACTTACAAACTTTATTAGCTGTGGTGGTGCTATGCTAAGGTTTATATTAGATACAGAATATAGGAACCCTCTCTTCACAGCCCGGAACTATACTTAGCACCATCTGAGTGCACCATTTGAGGATTACACATTCCCCCTGATTTCAGGGACCGAATCTTGGGAGCTAAAATTACTTTTCTAATGGACAAGGAATATGGCTCTCGAAAGAGTTCATTTACCACTTAAAATTAATGGAGCCATCTCAGTGAAGTACAGCTCTGCGCAGTTGCAGAGGAACCTTTATACAGATACGTACATACACATGCACACGCACACCCCCCCACACACACACCCTCACACACACTATGAACTTGTGCAGGTTGACAGATGGTACATGAAAAATAAACTTACTGGGACCTGCAGCATCTTTCAGTAGATCCATTTCCAATTGGTCTGGAATATTGAAGACTATAAGAATACCCTTTACTTATTTTTAGCTCCCAGATCTTTTCAACTTATGAAAGCACTTAAGGACACTTAACACAGAGAAGAGAAATTTCCCAGAATAAAAAGCTTGGAAATTAAACAAATATAAAGCCAGCCAGGCAAGAAACTCTGAATGAGCAAGTGACATTTCCACATCTAGCCTGGATTTTAGCACGATCATGACTGCTAGCAAAAAGTATATGCCCACTACATGTGACAGGAAGGATGTATAGAGCTCAAGCTTAGCATGTGAATTACTGAATATCATATACTATGCAGAGGACCATCATAAAGGTCTAGAATAAAAGTTTAATAATGACCATTTATATTAACATTTACCATTTTCTAAGCACTTCTTTTGCCTCAAGGACTACGCTAGCACTTTTATGACATTTTATGTTGTTAAATCTGCATTATAATCTATGTGGTAACACTCTATTACCCACATTTTACTGATAAGGACATTGAGGCTTGGAATATTTAAGTGATTTGCTATAAGTCACAGAGCTAGAAAATGAGTAGGTCAGGAATGAAACCCAGGTAAATTTGCCTTACAGCTCTGTAGTTAATCATTATGAAAGCAGACCAGCAGGAACGCATGGAAAACTATATTCAAATATGAGTATATATTTATTTGTGTATTTACATAAGCATCAACTAATTTGTTCAAATATTTGTTAGGTAGGTCTTTCCAATTTCTATTCATTTGTTCCTTATCACTGAGAGTCGTTAGTTGGTAACCTCTGACTGTAACTTTGGTATGATCTTGCTCCTGCATCTTTCTTGGTCATCCTTAGCAGATTGCCTGACACCTCCCTGTGGCTGACACTAATTGTCAGTGCACTTTTAGTAATGCATTCTGTAAGTGGAAAAGAGGCTGGGCTAGTCAAAGTGGCATGTGTCTTTCTATAGCACATCAGATAGCCTGCTGGGTTCTGTGAGCAGTTTTTCCTTTGTTTTTTGTCTATAAATTTCAGGTGGTTCTAGCCCTTTGCTGTAGCAACTGCTTTCTTTATACACAGTGAACTTTGCCTTGGCCAAATGGGTGCTTCCTCTAAAGGATTAGGAGAAAAGGTCAGTACAGTGATCGTCAACACTCAGCAGGGGACATGGAGGCAGCAAAATCCCAGAGGGCACAGAGCCAGGCTTATTCAATTCATCGATCGAGCCAGCACCCTGCGCTTGTCTGGATTACCATGGGGAGTAACATATAATGCTGGTGGGACACATTGCACAGTGCCTGCTTGTGTGCCCCCTTGAAAACAAATGCCTGCCAACCCTAATCACTCTGGTAGTTGGCTGATTTATTTAAAATTATTCAACCAGATGAAGCCCTTTTTAAATGCATATGTTCAAATCGATCACATTTAGGTTTTATTTTGATATTTTTATTTTTTAGTATATTTATTTCTAGAGAGAGAGAACGAGGGAGAGAGAGAGGCAGAAAGAGAAGGAGAGAAACCCAAGCAGGCCCCACGCTGTTAGTATTCCCAACGTGGGGCTCGAACCCGCCAACCGTGAGAGCATGAGAGCATGACCTGAGCTGAAATCCAGAGTCCGATGCTTAATCGATTGAAAAA